TGTTATTCCGTGCAATTGGTCAGAGATTAATGGTCGACGAGAATAATGTAAAGTTGGGATAATGTTCGTCACAAACTAGACGAAATTTGTGTAAAATATGAAGATTGTAAGATGTGTCGAGGAGCACAGGTTCTAGGTGTCGAGCGGCATGAGGCTGTAAGGTGCACCAAGGAGCACAGGTAATTACGTCGACTAATATAAGACTGTAAGATGTCTCGAGGAGCACATGTGCTAGGTGTTGAGCGGCATGAGGCTGCAAGGTGCACCGAGGAGTGGCACAAGACTGCACGATATGCTGAAAAGTATGGGGTGTAGATCGGTACAGAACCATGAAAGGAAGGTATCGAGTTGCACGACCACTATGTCGAGGGGTATACATCGTATTTAACTCGTTCCCGTGCAGACTATTTAGTTATTTAAATTAGTTTAAGAATCTCAGTATAATAATTAGAATTCTTAAGGTATTATGTCCCTATAAGATTAATGAATTCTAGTAGAAATAAGTTAGTAGCAAGAGAGATAATATAATTAATAAGTATCTAGCAACATATAGTTGAATTACCCGAATAATCATGCAGGACATCATGGTATATTTTGGTTGATACGGTGTATTGTATACTTGTTGTAATTTGAGAATTTGCAAGTAATATGGAATTTTGTTGAGATGCCTCTAATTATTGGAATATATTAAGTTGTAGGATTATGGCCAATGTTGAATTGTGTTAAGTTATTGTTTAATTATTATTGTTGTTACTACATTCATGTTGTTGTTGCATACATAGCATATTAAGTTGGGAGCTCATGCTCGGTAAGTTGGCCTGGATTGAAAAATATTAAGTTGAAGGTTTATACCTTGTTGACGCCTCTATTAATTGGAATATTACTAAGTTGGGAGTTTTTCCTCCATTTGTATCACATGCATGTGCATAAAACAAATTGCATTTCATGCATCCTGAGTTGTTGTATGGATGAATTAATTATGTTAAATGTTGTTAAAAAGTTGTGAAGTGGTGATTTGTATGAACTGATTCTAATATATTATTTATCATGCGTTCTATTATATTGTTCGATATCTCACTCCTTCTGTTTGAATGTTGCCCTCTGTTGATAACGTGCAGGTAATCAAGAGTGAAGGTTGTTTACTTTCAGTAGTTTGAGTCGGTGCCCAAGGCCGGCCCAACCCATTTGGAGGCCTAAATAAAATCTTAAAATGAGGCATTTAAAATATATTTTAAAATAATAATTTTGTGGTTGCTAAGAGTTGAACTCAAGACAAAAGTAAAAAGAGGCATAAATTTTAACAACTTAACTATGATAATTTATGTGTATAATGTATCATTATATATTATTAAACTAAATAAAAAAATTGAGGCATTTTTTAAGCCCAAACTTTTGAGGCCTAAAGCCCTAGCCTTGGTGGCTTGGCCCTTGGGCCGGCCGACGGTGTCGTCGCTCTGTTACATAATACTCGGGGGGATGAATGTTTGTTGCCTTATTGTTAATTTTACTTCTGTTGCTGAATTTTGAGTTGTTTTCGTTAAGTACTTGTTGATTTGAAGTTGTTTTCAGTTGGACAAGTATGTCATGTCATTTGAGTTAAACAATGTGATTCCGCTGCTTAATTATAAAGTTGTCTTATTTTTAAAGATAAAATAGGTTGTTAAAGATAAAATAGGTTGTTATCGGTTCATTCGAATTTTATGTGTTATATATATGAACTATTGGCGATTAAATATCGTTGTGTTCCATGTTGAAAGTGTAGCATTCCATTTATTTGTTGGAAATTTTGTAACTCTGATTTTACAAAATCCGTTGGGTAGAAATGGAGTGTTACATGAGAATCATCCATAAATAATACATAAGCCCAAACTAATCAGGCCCAGGTGCACACAAAACAAAACAAAAAAGACACACAAACAATTATGTGAGTGCAACTTCATCATTAGATGTTTTGCATGATGTCAAAACTAAGAAAACTTAGCATTTATATATATTGGACAGTATCTCTATTCTTGTGGCACTCCCTTGCATTAGAGGTCTTAGGAATCATTAAAAATCATTTTGAAATAGACGAAAGCCTTGAAAAACAATTTTTTACATAAATGTTTCTTGCATGTGTTGACACATACGTGTTTCAGGCCGACACATGTAAATCAATAATGAAGCTTGTAGCTTTTGTTTGACTTAGACCGACACATGCACTCATATAAGCTAGCACATACTGTAACTTTCAGTGTTTCAATTTTATGTGTCGGCACATATGAATTTCAGGTCGACACATTTATTACAGTATTTAAGCCAAAAACTATTGCCCTACATAGGTTGACACGTCTGCTCTTTCAGGCTGGCATATGCAGATATTTTTTTACTTATGTATCAACACACACGTATTTTATACCGACACATACTAATTGGTTGGATCAATTTTTTTAATTCTTTTTAATTCTGAAAATTACCTCTTTGTATCTAAACTTCCACAACTATAAATACATCATTCATGCATCATTCCAACTTGATGAAACTATAAACACTTACTGCAATTGCTCTTCACCTTCAACCTCCAACCTATACATACACACTGATAAATCATACATAATCATCTTTTGTCGGGTGTCATCTAGGCGAAGTTTGATAACGTCCAATTAGTTTCTTGTGTAGTTGAGAATATTGAGTTGAGTTTGCAGGGGATTTCATTCGGGAAAAATTAGGGTTTATCCTCCAATATCTTTGGTAGATTTGGGGGTTTTGTTCAAGAGTTTTAAAAGAGGATTGCGACCAAGTGAAAAGCCTTCAGAGTGTGGTACCCAAGGAAGTAGCGAGAGAACGACGAATTGAATTGAAAGGTCTTGTGTTTAATAGATACAATTGATCATGCGTGAAAGATCTTTATAGTTTGGTATCCAAAGGAGTAGCAAAATTCGATAAATCAATCGGTAGCTATTGTGTCTTATTCTTGCTCAAGATGAAAAAAAGAGAAGGGGTTGAATCAACACAAACAGTTGTGTTTGTAGGGTTGCTCTTAGAACACTTCTCTTGTAATCGGTTTTTACATAGTAAGAAATTATCCTAATTCTAAAATTAGAGTTGGGAGGAGACGTAGTCATAGCGAGGACGATTGACAAACTTCCTAAACAAATTCTCGTGTCTCTCTTTCTTATCTCTTTGCTTGCTTTATTTTTTATTAAGCAATTTATCAAATAACATTGATTAAACGATTGACTCGTAAAAAAAATTTGTGGCTGTTTTTATTTTAAATTGGTTGTTGATTAGCTTTATAATCACTTTTTATTATAGGTGATTTTTCATATCACCACAACTCAAAGGAAAATTCTAAAAACTCGACCGCACATGAAGTGTTTGAAAAATTGTATAGTTCGTTATTTTTGCTAGTTACCATTGAAAATAATATTGCTATTAACTTGCTATAAACGAATAATAGTGTGTTATTTGATTCAAGTTTATAAATTCGATTATTGTGTTGTTAATTCTATAATACACTATATTTTACATATCTGGATTTCAATAGCTAAGTTCGTATAGATGACGTTTTCGATCTATATTAAAACCTTTCACGTGCACTATTTTTAATTACTTTTAAAAAAAACTAAATTTAATATGTTTGATTTAAATGAAGGAGGAGGGAAAGGGAGAGATTTTGATTAAAAATATTTTTGACTCAAGAGTGAAGAGATTTCATTAATAAATTATATTTTTATTCTTATGATTTTATATAAGTGATATAAAATGATATTGTTTAATTTTTTATTTATATATCAAGTGTTTAATTTTACAATCAAACTTGGAGCGCTTTCGCATAGGAAGTTCTCATGTTGACTTTTTTTTTTAAATTGTATATCCTCTACGCGCAATTGTATAGACTAATTCTTCTAGCTGGATAGGACCAAAATAGGTGATAAAATTAGGGGTGGCAAACGGACATGCCTGTTCCGTTTAAGTCCGCTTTGCAAGAGCCCGTAAAAAATAAGACGGGATGGGACGGACATAGTTGAGGATGAAGGAAAAAACTCACAGACACTGCATATTTTAAGCCTAAAAATATAAAAGTCCGCGAAGAAAACAGGGCAGAACGAGACGGTCACGTTAGAAGGTGAAGACCTAAATTCTTGATCCGTCACGCACTAAAGTGCGGGCAAAACCTGCAGGCCCAACAAACCGGACTTGTTTTGCCATCCCTAGACAAAATACTCCCTCAAAAGAATTTTACATTGTTGCATGCTCAAAATTGAGTTCAAACCAAAGACCTCGGATTATGCTAGAAGAGATCCCTGATTTTAGTCAGATATGAATTATCTCATTTTAAAAAGTAAAGTCACACATCTAAATCACGATCTAAATGTAGGTTGATAACACAGTGACATTACTTACACATTAACAACTACTAATTAGAACAGCTCTGTGGATGAGGCAGATACTTCAAATTCAAATTTCAGATGGTTTAAATTTAAACCCTGGAAGATATTTTTCAGACCGTGCTCATGATAGTTGAGCCAGCACAAATCAAATGAAGATGCTGTTCATCAGAGGGGAGGGAGAGATGTTCCACAAGATACTGAAATAATAATATTATGAAATACTCATTTCATCTGCTCTAGAGCCAAGCTCCATAATATACTATATATTACAACAAACTAAAACAAAACAATAGAATCCACGTTTATTAATAATAAATCCCAACAACTAAGACCCTTCCTAATTGACAACAATACATTTAAATTGATTTTACAAGTAGGCTTGAAAATAAATATTGCCACACACCCCTCCTTTCCCGTACTCTTTGAATGTCGTGACAAAATCGAAAAGAAAATTGAAAATACATTAATCCACATCATATATCGGCTGCACAGTTTGTAGAGAATCTGGAGATTTTACCTCCTCCTTATATCAAAGTAAAACATGAAAGTTTCATCACCTCTTTTCATGATGGCTTTGCTGAACCAATTGTGTTTCCTTTCCCCCAGCTCAACACATTTACGTGTCTTTCAGACTATACTAGGAGGATCACCCGACCAGTTGCAGACAGCACGTGGCCAACGTGTCCTTACGCAGTCAACCAAAGGCGCATGCTGAACAGGCTCTGGTTTAGATACCTCAATGTCCTTCCCAGTAGAGTCACTTGCACCAGAAGCTGATGGACCTTGCACATCTGCCATAAATTCCTCAGGTGTCCACCTTGGGGGAACTGAGACACTTAATTTTGTCAGCCTGGGTCTTTGAAGTGGAGTTTCACCCCCAAAACTTACTTGACTGCCATTCAAATCTGATTTAGCAATCCCGTTAAAATGGAAAAGATCAAAGACCTTCTTACCCATCAATCCTGATGAATCTTTCAAGCCTCCCAAGCTTTGGTCTAAGTCCAAAATCACCTGCCAGAATTCACTCCATACAATGAACCCTGCGCTGCAGAGGTTATCTAGCTTCACTTGTGGAAGTTTGATATTTGTTTCTCTGATGACTTGATGGAACCCCTCCACACTAATGAAGCCGCCACCTCCACTTTGATCTTGTGCATCAAAAGCTTTGCGGATCTGTGTTTCCCTTCCTTCCAATTCATTCTCGTTTTGAACGGTGGGATCAAGAGCAAACAAAACTGTGTAATGGGATTCACTCCCAACAACCCATATAGGCCATTTTGGGGTTTTCAGAAACTGACCAACCTTGCAGAAATTCAGGGATTCTAGCAGGGTGAGAAATCCAACTTCCACATTTCGGGATATACCTTTCAGAAACATTCCTCCACCTAAATCCATCCTTCCATCAAATACATTTGCAACAGCCTGCCCACAGAGCAGTAGGTTTACAATTTCCTGTACAAGTTTGTAGACAAAGACAAACGTCATTCTAAAATTAATTTAAAATGAACTGAATTTTAAACATAAGAAAAAAATGGCGACATTTCTCAATTACCTGGGAGGCATGCCCAAAAGGAGCAGTAACCAGGGGTAGGCTGGGATCATCCCTGTCACTTTGAACCAAATCCTGACAAAAGAAAAATATTGCATACATTAATTGGAGAACTTTTTAACATGCTAACAACCAGTGTAAATTCAGTTACCCCTGAAGTTTACGATTTCTAATTTACCATTGTATTCACCAAATGTTAGGAGGTGTAGAAGGTGAAAGACCTAAATTTTCTAAAAGAACATAGTGTAAGAACTAAGAACTCAAAGTTTAAACTTTAAAGGTATAAGACTATAGGTGCTGGTAACAACTGATCCATTACCCTACTACAGCTTTTTTTGACAAAAAAAACTGATATTACCAATTGGGCTTTTGGTCATACAAGACTTGGGCCTGAATACATTTTGGATTTTCTTCAATCCAGATTTTGTTCTCAGCCTGATTGGCTTGCTTATCAATAATGTGAGTGACACCATTGTTGTCTCTGTGATAAACACTAAACTTCCTAAGACTATTCATCTTCCTGTGAATGGATCTGCAAGTTAAACCCCAGCTAGTTATAGCCTTATAGGTTTTTCCCCAACCTTCATCATATCAGCAAGACACTTGCTATCCATTTCAAATTCCACTTCCAAAAAACAGCAATCGATTGCTATCTCCACTGCTTTCATCAGCGCCATAGTTTCAGCCATTGAAGAGTCGTAGTTTCCTTCCATGCAGAAAGAGCTCACTGCAAGGGTTTCTCCATTTTCGTCTTTGAAATAGCTCCAAGGCCCCATTTTTCGATCACGTTGAGACTAGAATCGATGTTTCCTTTTATCCACCCTTTTCAAGAGGTTTCCACTTCGACTTATGCTCTCCCGTATTGTTACTACATTCTTCTTTGATTAACCCAGTTAGACTCTCTTGTTATTGATTTCTTCAGTATTTTTGTTGTTTTCGTCTTTCTCATACTTGCTAACCTCTTTCTCTTTTCTGGTATTCATATTTTATCATCTCCCACTCTTGAGGATTTCTCTGCATGTGGTCATGAATCTTTCTTTGGTCGTGGCATCTCTTCGGATTGCTTTGCATGTTGGTGTTCTGAGGATAAGAGCTGAGCTTAGGGTTTTCTGATGTGGTTATTGTTAAATATGCAAAAAGGTAGCTCAAAGGGTGAGAAACGGTGAGGTTTCCCTCACATATTTATACATTCAACCATTCAACCGCTCAAAAACTTAAGGAATGTGGGACTTCAAACAAACTCCAACAACACAACTATCAACTTCAACCATCCACCCTCATGCCTAGCGTGGGCCTGGATTTAATGCACACATTGTAGTCCTTAACCCGGCTCTGATACCATGTTTAATATGCTTGGATCTCAAGTTTTTGTTAGAGCAATTTTTCTGGGTTTGAGGATTTCTCTAAGATTGGTATTTTCTTCCACTTCATCTTGATCCTAATCATTAATACCTTTGTACTTGCTCTCAAAGTTATGAAATTTATTGTTGTTGCTAACCTTGCTTTTTCCCTTTTCTGAGGTTTTATCCTTGTAATTATGATCTGGTCTCCTTCGTTAACTTCAGTTTGATAGACTCTTGAGTTCCTATTCCGGTATTAACCTCTTCCTTGCTTTCTTCTTTGCCATAAACTCTTCTTTCCATAAATTGGTTTGTTTGATGCTGATCTTCATCGTTTTTGTAGGGTTTCCACTGGGATATGTTATCCTTTTGATGCATATTAGTCCTAGGGTTTGTATCATTGGTGTTTGTACTGTAAGTAATTCTGTGAGTAACCTTTACTGCCATGCTCCTCTATATATTTCCTTATGTACTTATTGTCTTCCATTTTATGTTCTCCATTGCTGTAGTCTTTGCTTGTTGTGAGGATTGTTTCTATCATCTTCATCTGATCTTCCTTGCCGAAGGTGCTTAGAAATTACAACAAAATTTATAATATGAACATAGAAATCCATCTACCATGATACTGATCCTCAACCACCCAAGGTAATTTAAGCTTACAGGGAAAGAAACACTGTCATCTAGTGTCTTTGTCATTTCCAGTTTCCAAGATATTTTGTAGACTATAAATGTCAGAGAAGAATATGTAATTAGATACTGGATTTGTGCTATAGAATCAACTTGGTATTGGTTGTGACGCCGGACCACAAATTTCCAGTTTCCAAGATATTTTGTAGAGTTTAGACCATAAATGTCAGAGGAGAATATGTAATTAGATACTGGATTTGTGCTATTGAATCAACTTGGTATAGGTTGTGACATCGGACCACAAATTTTGGAATTCATAAAAAATTATAAATTCTAACCAACTTTAGATGGATCTGGTTGAATATTTGGATTATTGTTTTAGGAGTCTTCTTATGTTACTAGGAGTGGCATTGGCTAAATATAAGTACTGATTTTATTACACTCATATTGAGCTAGAAAATTAGCATAAAAATAGGTTAATAGTGTTGGTGTTTATTATCACAACATAATATTTATTTAGAAATATATCACTAAACTAAAATATATTCTCTCGGTTTTCCATTGCATATTTCAACACGGCATAAAATACCATCCACTATTAGCATGATGTATGTCCATGGTGTCTTCTACAACAGAGCTCCCAATATAGCAAATTCCTCTGTTTCTATTTGATACATTTCAGTCTGCTTATTGGTTCTTTAGAATAAATAGAAGTATTAAGCTAGTGTCTATCGTCACAAAATCACAGTCGTTCAAGTGTCCCATTAGTAAAATATACTTCCCTTTTTTAGTTTTCCATCCAATCCCTATGATTTCAACAGAGTCCTTATGGAATAAGCTTTTTTGGCTTGGTAAGCTTTTCTAAAACAATGTCTAGACAGAGTCCAGTCATTCATTCTTAAAACAGTTAGTTGCCAGAAAAACCCTAATTCTGAACTTCCCCTCAAGCTTAACAGACCATGAAGGTGCTGCCACAAGTATTATCCACATTCTTAATATAACTAATTTCAAGTCAAAAGTGACACATTTGTCGCAAACATTGAGCACCCACCATTTCCAGACGCAATTGGGTCAGGTTGCCCCAGGGGTCCAGGACAATATTCAAGGTCTCAAAAAACTAATAACTACGAAATGGGTTTAGGGGTGGGGAATGACATTGAGTTGCAAAAATATTTTTAAGCCAATTCAAGCCACAATCTCAGAATGTGGAGGCTGAGTCTAACCCATCCCTACAAAACCGGCTTGTAAGGTGAGGGCTGCCCAAGCTTTATAAACACTACACAGATCATATCTCTAAGCAATGTGGGCTTAAATCCACCCTTTTAAACCCAACACAATGAAGGTGTTGGAGACTGTAATGAAGGCAAGCCAAATTCCGCAATTAAGCGACTAGGGGCGGACCACAATGAGGAATTTCTAACACAACAGCACATATTTGCTTGGCTCACTGCTGGAATCCTAATATATAGGCAGTGTTAAACCTTACATTCAAATATAAAGGCCATATTTGGATTAGCTTTTTAATTAATATAAGTTTATGGTTCTTTACTTAAGGGAAACTCTTTATGAGCTTTAAATATGTTTATTATGAAGAAGTTAAATAAGAGAGCTTATGAAAAATTGTAAAGCAGAAGCCTGATTTCAACTCATACGGTAAGTTGTTTGTTTAAAGACTTCAGCACTAGCAAGTCATTGTTAATATATCTTCTTCTGAGTGCTTATGGAGAAACAAATTGAAGTAACGCAAACTACAACCATGCAAATAACTTAGATAAACAAAATGGTCATATACTACTTTTCATCATTGCATGAATATTCCTATAGAAGCAAATGAGAGTACAAAACACAAGCAAACCTAATAAAGAAGTTTCCATAATCATGCAGTGAAGTTCTAATATTCGTGCACAAAGATACCGCATATTAAGTCACACAGATAATTAATTATTTTTAAGTAGAAGCTTAACAAATTTCAGAAAATAGAGGCAACACTCCAATATGAAATAGGTAGCAAAGATTGAAGTAGGAAAACGTACCAGTCCACGAGAAAGTAAAGCAGAGATTAGGAAGAGCAATGCCCCCATACGACTTTGAAATAAAGGAATAATTGCTTCAAGCCTCTGAAAAGCAGTTGTTTCTGACGTGTGAGTTTCAACTCTAAGAACTTTCAGCAGATCCAAGGAAGACTCAATGGAAAGAGCTTTAAGTGAGCTTGCAACAACCTGCTTATTTGAAAGGACAAGACTCAGCACAACAGATAGGAAATTCATTTCCATTTGTTGCCGACAAGATGTTGCACAAATAACTAATATTATCAGCACAAATAAGAAGGTACCTCATCCTCTGAGATTCCTTCAAAACGTTGAATATCATTCCCCGGAATGCTCAAAGTTGCAATCACGGCCCTTTTATTACTTCCACAAGAAAATAAAATTTCACCCATACTTCTTACGAGGGCTCTGCCAAGAAATCAATAAAGATAAATATATGATGACTATAGCATATATGAAAGAATACACCTACCAACATTAAAGACCAGAGAAGCATGTAAAAGGACATTGAGTAGGAACTAAATTTCTAGGCTGTTTGAAATTTAATATACACAATACACTAATAAACACACAAACTTGTGTTCATACTATATTCCACATTTAAATAATTAATTAATAAAACAGGCAAATAAATAAAGCCCGTGTAGCTTAGAAGCTGGACGCAAGTATGCCATCAATGTTCGATCACCAAGGAAATTGGATTACACAAAAAAGTTTAATCTGCATCTGATGTTTTCTAGATTGGTATACACCAGCCATTAACCATTCCATTTAAATGCTTCATTGGTAAAGTAAAGGTTGGTTTATAATTTAGGAAGTCTCTGGGGTAAATAATCCTTCTGGATTTTTCGTCACCTTGTTAGGTTAAATTGTTTGTTACTAACAGGAAATGTTTCTACCAAGAATTCCCAAATAGTGATTCTGTTCAAGTAAATAAGGATGTAGAGCTTCATAGTCACTCAAAAAAATAGGGTGATGAGCTTCACAGTCACTCAAAAATTGCCTTGTAAAATGAAAAGAAAACATTCTAATAACAGAATCACCACATTTTAAAAGATCAGACTAGCAGTTTTGATGATCAAATATCATAAAGATTCCAGACAAATGTTGGAAAAACTTGTTCTGACTCAATGTTGTCAGTGAGAAACTAAAACTGTCTACTGTAAATGAAATAATACATTTAATGAACAAAGAACTCAATACATATTGAAAATGATTGAAAGAAACATAATTGGATCAAATCTAATAAAGAAAAACTATATTGTGCCACTCAGAAGAAAAAAAGACACCTAATTTAATCAAATCACATTCATGTTCATGATAACAAGAAGGCTAATTATTTGAAATCAAAGAAATTGACAGGACGAAGTACAAAGTACAAGCAATGGAAGTCTATTGTTTTATTACAATTAACATTATTTTTACCTAGCTATACACAAACAACTGATCGGAAAAAGTTAATCACCTTACTTTTACATCTTCAGTGAGTGAAGAAATATTATATGATGGAACAGAGTGACTTTTACTTGACACACCCAGACCCCGATTCTGTGGTATGCGTGACAATTCATTACTGAAGAAAATAATGTATTTGAGCACAAATGCCTGAAAAGTTAAAGGGAAAAACAAGCAAAATCAATGTAAAATGAAAAATAATCTGGAACTTATATTGTATATTGTAGAAGAAATAAATAAAATGGAAAATAACAAACGGACATGGGCAGACATGCCCACACATGAACAAAAGAGCTACAGAAAAGTGTTACTTTCTTAATAAAGCAAGGAGTTCTACATTACTATGGTGAAAATGTGGAAAACAATGAATGAGCAAAGCAAGATATTGTCTAACACAAGGAAAAACACAAAGGGAAGATGAAAGACACAAATTACACAAAATGTAAAGCCAGTTAATATTTTATAGGCCGCTGTACTCATTTAGCAACTATAGTTTTACTTTGAAATCAATTGTGTCCGAACAGTTCAAAACCATTGAAAACAGTCTCGATGGTTTAGGGACTTTGATGGTCACTACTAGATTGGCTGGCTAACCAAATAGGGATCTTACATCCCTTGAAGTAGGGACTTTATTAAACAGTTTTGAAAAATAGATAGTGTACCACAAAAAAGCAAGACTGAAAAATGTAGCCATTACCTGTATAGTTGCCAAAACGCCACAGGGGCCTCCTTCATGCTGCACTAGGCCCATTGATGTTTCAGGATCAGAGCTAAATCTAAAGGAAAGTTTTCAAAGTTTTCAATTGGAATTTATATTTATTAGAAATAAATAATTCAAAAGTCAAACGAATATTTAGAACAAGACAATATGAAAAACATGTGACATGTTGATGATCAGTTGGGGACGCATTTTTTTATTTCCTTTATGGATTTGATTATTCATTGAGTCAAATTGAACCATTCAGATACTAAGCTCAACAACCGGAAAATGTGTAGCATAGCATTAGTTTGATAGCAATAAGGTTAGGATGGACAAGATGAACAAATGTAAGCGTAGCTAAATAAAGAAAAGTTATTCATCTATTACAGAACAAGATGCAAAGCTTATGCCAATACACAATGTTAAACAGGCCTCTGCAGAAGCATAAAACAGTTTTCCAATTAACAAATAAAGAATACTGTCATGATAGCACCATCAATACTTCATGATCTAATTTATAAGTTCTATAGCATCAAGTGAACATAATCATCCTGGGTAACAAGGAATTTTGCCACTCTATTTCATGCAAAGATGTCCGCATTGAATAGAAATAGTGAATGTTGAATTGCTTTATTAATTTTTCCCTCGGTGTTTTACCAAGATCTTTACTCATTCTTTACTCTTCTAAAATTACCAACCTATTTTTTTTTATCAAGACAATTCGAAAAAAGCAAAGTTTGACAATCATGATTAGTGATCTAGGTCAAGAGATCTGCCCTTAGTGGGTTGTGCATGTAACATCTGAATTAGTTAATACTCAATAAGCAAATTAACATAAGTAGTTTGTACTTGTAATGTGAAAGAAACCCCTGTCAGTAATTCTAAAATACGTGTATTATGAGAGTATGCAATTTAAGAGCAAAAGTATGCTCCAAGCTATGGAGGATCTGTCCAGTCCCAGATGTAACATCTCAGGAAAATACAAAAGAGAATGACCACTATGGAACTACGTAAACTACCACCGCTATACAAAATTCCTTTTATCTCTCCTTTAACTAATCCCCCCAACCCCCCTTACCGATGTCCCTCTACAGCCCTTAGTGTGTAAACCTATAGGGATCCGCCCTTAGTGGATTGTGCATATACTCAATAAGCAAATTAACATAAGTAGTTTGTACTTGTAATGTGAAAGGAACCCTTGTCAGTAATTCTAAAATATGTGTACTAATAGAGTATATACAATTTAAAAATAATAATATGCTCCAAGCTATGGAGGATCTGTCCAACCCCAGATGTAATAGGGCCTCTTAGCGTAGGGATTAGGGTTTAGTCTCGTTCTTTCCTATCACAATAATTCTCCAACATGTTGGTTGTACTCCCAAGTTTCAACACTGCTATAATTTCAGAAAAAAAGTAAACCAAATAAGCCAGTTTCCTCCTACGTGAATGCATTACTTGTATAAAATAAAATATGTTGTCGTGTTAAAAGTTCAGGATTTATATTAAATCAATATTAATGATATCTTACATCCTCCCTTCAACATTTGCAAGAGAACTCATGCAAGTACACGACTTCATATGATAAATTATCCCCGCATTGCATCATTTAGGTCCGCATTGAATTTCTCTGCTGTCTACTTTAAATCGGGAGACAATGATGTCCACTTTGGTTCCCTTTGTAGTTCAAAGATTCATACTTCTCTGAATTCCGGTTCCTTTTAGCCAACAGTTCCCGGCTTCCAAACATCTATCATCTTCAATGTTTTATCAGCTAATGTTTTGGTTCTTTTTTTGAGAGATGTTAATAACACTTTCTCCAACACACCCGGCTATTGATTGAAATTCATATGCACTCCACCACTTTGAGAATGGGTCTCCTCAAATAAGGAATGAGACACCACATAAGTTAGTAGGTCTTACATGATATCACACGATGGAAAGTGTTCTTCTAGCACTACTCTTATTTTCTTTGCTTATCAACCAATCTTGAACTTTCTCCATTCCTTGCTTCCTTCTGAGATGTTCATCAGATTCCAAACCATCCCGCACAACAATATCTCTCTACACCTCAATTCGTGCCCACCTTGGGAAGTGCCTCATTCCAACTAACCTAACTAGCTAAATAACCCCTCTAACCAACAGGCCTAATAAACACTTAACACTTGCAACATTCTCATTACTTATTACCTATTTTACATATTCGTCTCTCGCGTGATCAATTGATCACCAAAACTCAATCCGCTGACTCGGATTGGGAAACTCATCATATGTTCTGTACAAGACTAATAAATTATTTGGGCACAAATGGTTCCAAAAAAACAACAATTTACATGTAATAAGTTTGCAATATACATTAGTGAGAGTACCTTATTCCCTGGTTGCACCACTGTGCAAGAATATCCTTCGAAACTTGACTTCCAAACACCATAACAAATAACTTATTAGCTTCCTCCGCAGAAAGCTCCTTACACAAACTCTGATCTCTCAGAGGCAATTCATCCACTCTCCTCACAACTTCACCCCCTTTTTTCAATTCTTTATTCCCCACTGGCGACAACGGCGAAACCCTAACCACAGTCGCCATCCGCTTCTCAGCCGCCGCAGCCATGAGCTCCCGCCTCCGAGTCTTGGATTCCGGCGAATCCTCCGGCAACCCCGAAACAACCCCCGCGACTTCGTCCCTAGGCTTGTTCCGCTTCGGCTCCGGCGTCATGCTCATCCGAATCGCCATTTCCAAATCCTCGTCTTCTCCCCGATCCGCCATTCCGGAATTTAAAAAAAAAATCAAAACTTTCAATTCCCGAAAGACGTAAAAACCCTAACGGGGTAATTTCTAGGGCTCCATTTCAATGCGATCGAAAATCGAAGATTCTAGATTGAAATTAAACAACGGTTGGTGAGAATTGGAATTTGGAGGGATTGGGAGGGGTAAAAATGGAAATGAATTTTTCGTGAAGGAGGCGAAGGTATCGAGGTCGCGACGGTGGCGATGAGTGGTAAACGGTGTCGTGTGGAATGAATGGTGGTAGATTATTGTAGAAGTAATGGTGGTGAAATGACGCTGTGGGCCCTGAGGTAAATGAGCAGTGCAGTGAATAATTAAAGTGAAGAGATGAAGGGTATTGTGGGAATGAAAGTTTGTGAGATTTGGGTTTGAAGATTTAAATAGTAGACACCGGCGATGCTTCGCTTTAACGGATAGAAAACAAAATTGCGCTTTAATGAGAGATAATCTACCCTGTCGAACGATGAAAATTACGGAGAGTAGTTAGTGTTTGTTTTTTTTTTTATTTTAGGATTTAATTTAAAAATCAAAAATTTAAATGGGAATGAGTGTGTTTTTTGCTTTAATTTTAAAATATATTTTTTATAAAATTCATAATTAACAAGTAACCACTTTCAATGTTGTTGTTATTTTGATCAAACAAATATCAAGGTTGATGTAATCTATCGTATAAGAAAGTTATATATTATGAAAAATTTTAGTTTGTCTTTATGAAAAAGGTTATTTTTTTGTTTTTTTTAGGGTTAATTGTGTTTGGTTCAAAATATTAAATGCATACCATAAAATAATGTTGTGATTTGGCGAATTATAAGAAACAGTTACACGCTGTCATTAAGATCTTTGATACAATTGATGATAAATTTTTCACTTTCTCTCTGTTCTACCTTGGTAATGAACGAAGACCAATTTTTCATCTTTCAAATCACTTGCCTTTTTTCTTCCCCTATAAATAAATACGTGCACTTAGATTATTTTCCCTATTGTGTTATCTGTAAGTCGATTTTTACTAATTACTCTCACCAAAAATCATGTCTTCCATATAAATATTCTCTGTTTCGAATACATTACAAATTATTTTATAATTCATGTTGTTGTTCTAATTTTTGTAGGTTTTGTATGATATTTGTTTGTTCCTTCCATGATCAGACTCTTTGAATTTGTCAAGGATATTAGCAATAGAAATGAACTCTGGAGTCGTGAAGGTGGTGAACGTCGTTGAGATGTTCAGCGATTGGTTTGAATTTTTTCTCGCGAGTTTTGAGTTTGATTATTGTGCCGGAACGGAGAAGCTCAGAGTATTTTGATAGTAGGGCTTGTTTTTCGTATATTTATGGTATATTCATGGTATCTTTATATAGTGTATAATATTTCTTATGTTAATTTTATTGTCGGTGACGTTTCATGTTGTAGGTACAACTTACTGAAATTTCTAGAAGAATGGAAAGGTCATAAGTATTTTCTTGGATGGTGCAGGAGTATTGGTGAGTAACTGATAACATGACAAATGTGGATATAGATGATTATTTTATAGAAAATAACTCTACAATCTATTAAATATATTGATAGTTTTTAGCTACATTGATGTGTAAGGGTGTGGGAAGAGAGATGAAGCTACATTGACTCAACCCATGAAAAGATTCTTTTAAACCTGTTATTCAATATTTCTTGTCATTTGGTTCCCTACTAATACAAAGTCTAGTTTTTATGAAGAAGAAGAATTTTTTTGACCCAACCCATAAAAAATGGTATGTGTTTCCTCTCTGTCTGAATTTTTCTGTTAGTTAGATGTTCTTTGGTAACAGCAAACCAAATGATAAATGTCTTACTTTTATGGAAACCCGATACAAAGGTTGCAGATCATCAAGTTTTTGAAGCTAAGAAAGCCACTGCTAAGAGTGGTGCACCTGCCAAGGTTGATCGACTCGCCAAAAGTAATGCATCTGATGAAGAGGTATTTTGTCAAGTGTCAACAATACCCCTAATTATGTTAGCCATAATTAATACCCATAATGTCAGGTTCATCGTTTTTGCCTTCAATATCTAAAATATTTGAAAGTTATTAACCACATCTTTTCAAGTTATTTGGTCTTGTGCTGCTTTGAGAGTAAGCGAATTCGTCAAGCACATACTCCCTCTGGTCTCATTTATAAAAAAAAATTAACTTTTTAGATACATTAAATAAGTAATGTATTTGGACAATATATTGTCCAAATACATTACTTATTCAATGTATATAAAAAGTTAATTTTTTCTTATAAATGAGACCGGAGGGAGTACCAATTAAGAATCTTATTTGATTTGTGTTATATATCCTATTACCTTGTTTGTGTTGGGAATACAATTGTTTGATTTTGTCTTGCTATATGGCAGAGATGTGGGCGACTTGAATAAAGCTCAGGCTTGCTAGATAGAAAAATAAATAAATTTAAAAATTTAATTGAGTCTCTAATATCATATTTTGCATTTCGTTACTATATAATTTAAATTTAACTGTAGACCAAAATAATACATTTTGACATAAGTTTTATGGTACTTAAATTATTTCATTTGTTTTGTTTTGAATATTTTATTTCTTCATTTCTATCATCTTATTGCTTATATCTTTGTTATTTTTACTGCAAAACAAGTATAATGTAAATTATTTGTTTTCTCATTTTAAATTATATCTTTTAGGATCTTCTGAATCAATATGAAGTTTCAGAATTTTCTTATTGGTATTAATTATACATGACATGAGAATAGCCATGAGAACAGATGGTGAGGTACAAGTATGTTATGCAATTATTGAAAAAGGTGTTAAGCAGAAGAAAATAAACACTATTAAGTTATTAATATTACAAGACCTTTAAGCTCATCCTTTAATGTTTTGTTTGTATGTGTATTTTAAAGAATGTCTATGTAATTGTGTGATCCAGACTATAATGCTAAGAAGATATATAATATCTTTTCAGATATAGCATACTATAATGTTTCGTCTGTATGTTTGGTTTGTATAACTCCTCCAGAAAATTGTTTCTTCCTTCCATCTTTTCATTTTATTTCTTAAATTATAATTATAATTTAAAAGATTACTTTACATTAATTAATTATAATTTAAATATTATATTTAAAATATATAGTTATTTATTAGTTTGATATCATTTTAAAAGATTATTAAATGAACTTAATTAGGAGTTTCTTTAAAAAATCACGAATCTTTAATAAAATAACAGGTTTATTTTTATTTTCAAAGAAATCACACTCTTATTTTTTATTTTTTTTAAATAAAATAATATTCTATTAACTTAAAGTAAATAACGAAATTAAATAATTTCAAAATATAGTATAAAATAATAAACAAATTGTATTAAAAAATTAAATAAAAAATAAAAAATGAACAGTGAGTATATAATAATGTTTTGTGAATTAAAAAAATAAAAATATAATAGAAAAGTTTTTAAAATGAGAGATTATTTTTAAATTTTTCTGTTCACTTTGTATATATAAATTTACTTTACTCATTATTTATTATTTTACTTATTTTATATAATTATTTAATATAATTTTATACTCTCTTTAAAAAGTCGTAAATTTTGCAATATACTTTAAGTGAATAGAACACAATTTTATTTTACCAAAAAATAATGGAATTTGTTTACTATTGAGAGTAAACATTTATGTTATTAAAAAATGCATTTGTATTTATGAAATATTAAAAATTACATATTGGTTACGAATATTAATAAAAACGTTAAAAAATAATGATTTTTTAAGAAAATTGAGAGTAAATTAAATTTTTTATTAAGAATCATTAGCATCATAATTCATTATTACCTTAATTGAAAAATGAAAATAAAAATAAACTCTTATTTTATTAAATATTTGTGTTTTTAAATATTTAGAATCATGCATTTTTTAGTGAAGAATAGCTTTTAAAAATAATGAGAAAAAAATATTTTTTATAACAAGAAACTATTATGATTTGATAAAATTAAAATGATTTGTTATCGAAATTGGAAAACACTGTTTTAGAAAGAATTATGTGAGTCATTAAGTATTCATAACCATTAAATTATAATAATATAAAGAGTTTAAATTGAGTGTAACTATTACTGTAATCTATTAATATAAAAAAAAAGGGTTAGCTAATTAATTTTGATCCGCAATTATTTTTAATAACAAAAATAAATTATAAATATTTTTATAAAGGGAAAATATTTATTATTAATATAATTATTTTTATAAATGGGAATAAAGTACATAATTTTATAAATGATAAAAAAAATATTGTTTTATAATTATTTTTATAAAGAAAAAAAAGTTACAAAAAAATTATAAATAAAAGAAATCTATTATTAATACAATTATTTTTGTAAACAAAAATAAGTTATGTTATATCACACATGAGTTATAAGAGTTTTTAAAATTTATAATAACTATGTAGTATTAAACGTGTTACCTTTGTTTTTGAATTTTGTGTTACCTATGTGAATATTAATGAAATGCAAAACAAATTTTAAAAATGACAAATGAGATATCGCGACATGTAATAAGAATTTAGACAGAAAATGTTTATATATATATATATATATATATATATATATATATATATATATATATATATATATATATATATATATATATATATATATATATATATATATATATATATATATATATATATATATATATATATGAATAATTATACTGTTGATTCAAATATTTTTTATATACAAAAGAAATTATTAAAAACCGATTTAGTATCTCTTTAAAAAATAATTTTTTTTTTGGTTAAACAAAATTTTAAAACTGATTTATTATCTCTTTTAAATCAATTTATCATCTCTTTTAATTTAAGATAATATATGAAAAATTGAAATATATATTATTTATGTAAAATTTTTTAGTAAAACAATTATATTTTTACTTTAAATATATGTCATTCTTTTAAAAATAATAAACTAATTTGATAAAATAATTTTGTTTTTTTAATTTATATTTTTATTACATTTTGAAAATAAAGACGTGTGTATTACACCAATATCCATGCGAACGCACGAGTAATACATCAGTACTGTTTTAATGTACGGATAACTATACTAGAATTTGTGTGAATGCACGTATTATTATGTTTTTTATATATTTAAAAAAATGAAACTAATATATTTAAAATAATGTATGAATAAAAAATATGTTATTTTTAAATTATTTATATTGTTAATATTTTTATTCGCAAAATAGTTTTATTTTAAAATAGAATATTTTAAAAAATAATATATGAAAAATTGAAATATATCTTATTAGTGTAAAATAATTTTGTTAAACAATTTTATTTTTATTTCAAAATTATATTTTTATTTTAAAAATAATAAAGTCTTTTGATAAAATAACTTTATTTTTTTTATTTAAACTTTTATTACAGTTTAAAAACAAAAGTGTGTGTAACACATCAGTATTCATGTGAACGCGCAGATATCCTACTAATTTAATATGTA